GCTAGTAATTTCGTTCTTAAGCAATCTAACTTGCAATACCCCAAAACCGTCTTCGGAATTGAATGACACTTGGATAAGTTCACTCACTCCGCGTGTCAAATCGTTAATTCTTGACTTCCCGCCATTCGACGCTGCAGATACACGACTAGTTAGCAGAATATTGCCAGATACGGTAACCAAAACTATCAAATGTGCGTTAAAAACGAGCTATCCTATTTCTGAAATGAACTCGCAATTAATATAAATTACGTTAGCTCGAAGCCCATATGATACTGTGGATGATACAGATTTCCAGCGGGCGTGTCTGAAAATAAAGGTGTTGGCTCAAGAGGCATATCGTTGGTTTCATAACGAAATACAAGAATTGAAAGACTTCGAAAACATGTATTGTGAAGAATTGATATGGTGTGGAGAACATAAAATCGTATGTACCCGAACAAAGAGCATTTTACTAGTTCATTGTCAACGTCTAATTTATCCATGCCTTTTGTTAAGACTTTTACGAAAAGTATCGAGCTCTATTTTGCAGGAGATAATTATACTGCTCTCCTTCTGATAACCTCATCATTGGAGCAGCTGCTAGGCGATGTAAATATGTTTACCGAGTCATATTGGGATGATTTAAATTAAATGTACTATTCGATTATAACAACACGTTTTCTAAGGTCTTGCATTTAGTCAATATTACATCACAAGTACCTCCACTCTTCCGCGACTTGTTACTGGAGAGACCTTTGGCAGACATTCTTGGAGAAGACTTTGTATTTCTACTTCGTTGCCTATTCGGTCCACCAAATTCCATGAATCTTCGGAACATCATTTGGCACGGTTTTATTTGCGAAGAGGAATTCTCGCCAACACCTGCTATATGGTATTATTGTTTAATTGTTGTCTTAGCAATGAGTGTTTGTGCGAAAGTAAAATTTTCGGAAGCCTCTTGCGAGGTCCTTATTAGAAGACACACAAAAAAAGCTTTCACAGGACTGTACCATCTCCCTCAAAATTTTAATTGGGACTATCTGACCAAAAGTGATTTTGAACAAATGTACGAGCTAATTCTAAATGAATGCGGTAACTATTTTTTCAAAACGCGTGTCTGTACAGTGACATTAGTATCCGGCTGGTATCTCGTTAATCCGCGTCATTAACAACTTAAACTGCCCACAGTACCGCACTCAATTCCCCCTCACATACACCTTCTTTCTATATTAAATCAAACCTTCTTTGTTATTCCGACTACGATTCCAACATGGAGACGTGCTTTTGAATATATGTACACGGGTCAGCCTATTCTTTTCTTGATACTTGCTCTTCCTCTTCTCGAGCACTCATTGCGTAGATTGTACATATGTCTGAACCAGGATGTGTCTGATCACAGACTTTGTACAGGAAACGTTGGAGAGTACTTCTTAACAATGGACGTTATGCTAAGAAAAAGCGTTAGCATGCAATGCGATATTGCGAAGGTTCTGGCCCAGAAGGAACTTGTTGAAGAACGTAAAAACGGTATTTTCGATCAACTAAAAGGCGATGTGATGGTAAGGATACAGACAATTAGCTACGACGCGTCTATCGGCTGAATTTTTGAGAAGTTGTTTTCGCATAGGACCTACTGGAAGACCTTTTCGTCCACGTTTCCGGGCCACGCCTTCGGGATCGGATCGCACATGGGGATTACGATTTTACACTACTGTGTACGACGTCTTCGGCGCATAACGACCCAGTTTTCGCGCATGTTGTGCACCTCATCCGACATCTTTTCGAAAGGTATATCGCTGGAACTCACATAAGCCCGAAGAAACTCGTCTTAAATTATAAATCGAGATTTCATCCTATGTCACTGTTACAAAGA